AAAATTATAATTACTACTGTAATTCATAAATCCTGGGAAGGGAATTAAGAGCATCACACAAGCTTTTTCACTTTCAAGTTCACTAATGTTAAAAACCTGCTTTGAATATAATAAAATTTTTTGATGTAAATAATTTCTAACAAATCTAAAAAAATATCTATAAAAATAGAAATGCCAAAGTTTGCTATATTGGAAAATGAATATTTCATGGGTTTTTGCACGATTAAATAATCCAGAGAAAGAAATCTTATCATCAAAATGAAGTAACATTGCTGAATTTTGAACAAAAAATTCTGAGATTAATTTTTGATAATTTCCCCCTAATTGTGGTAGTTTAGCAATAATAATTTTTAATAGACTGATGTTTGATTCAACATCTTTTATAAAGCATTTAAGACATGACTCAACCACTTCTTTTACAAAATGTTCATTTTTTACTTCTAATGCTCCATCTAAAATTACACTTCCATATTTGGTGAGATAATAGAAATCTTTTGTCAAGTATTGAATCATTTCTCTATAAGGGTGTCTAGAAATTTGATTTTGGATTTGATTTTGATTTTGGATTTGATTTTTGCTGGTGTATTTTTTACTAATTTCAGAAAAAAAATGGTCAACATCAAATATATAACCTTCATAATCTTTTTCAATAGACTTGATGTTTGTTTTTAAACTTTCTATACTCAAGTTATGACTTTTAATATATCTAACATATATCAAATTTTCTTCTTCATCAACAGCAAAAATTTGTGTATAATTTGTTGTTATTAAGATCAAACTATCATCAAATATCTCACATTCAATGAATTTTTCATCATATGATAAATCATATTCACTATCATATTTACTATCATTGCTGTCATTGCTGCTGCTGCTGCTGCCTTGGTTGCTTTTGTTGTTTAGAACTTTTATATTTATATGTTGAAATTCTTTATTATGAATTATGGTCCATCTATAATCCTTTCCATTTTCAATGATAGGGTTTGCATATAGTCCCTTATTCTCTGTATTAGAAATGAGATCTTTAATCTTTTTTTTAATTAGTTTACTAATTGTTTGGTATTTTTTGTTTCCATCATAGTCAACAGGAG